AAGTCAAGATAGGCGTAACACAACGAAGTTCGAAATCTTTAAAGATTACACTCTTGAGAACATTGCGATAGCATAAAATCACTAATCTTGAGTAAATTCAATTTGAAATTAATAATAAATTCTTGCGATAAATAAATTCTTTTAGCACAAATCTTAATTTACTGAGAGAATTCGATAGTAGTTTAGAAGTCACGTGATGAGTACGGGCGAATAGAGTTTTGAATCACAGTGGTGGGCGTGGTGAATTTATGCCTACACTGATATTTGAGTAAAAATCTGCAAGATAATATTATATGAAAAACATAAAATAACATATCTAAGTAGAGTCCTTAGCCTGCTCTACCCGGCACAAAGTCCTTTTGCTTTTCCAGTAATAGTAAGTCAGATAAAATATGATGATATGAAAGAGTAAAAGTAACAAGTAATAAAATGCAAAGTCTATCATTCCTGCTTTGCCAAATCCTTTGAAAAATCCAAAGTCCAGTTCGCTTTGTCAAAATAATATGTACATATTTACACTCACCACTTGGCATTGTGGTGAATAGACCTGGACCTTTTTACCATGCTTTCCACCGGAGGATCGCAATTTGCAATTTCACGTAGAGTGTTGATTGAAGAGATCTGCATTTTCTCAAAGAAATTATGAGCTTCCATCAGGATTTGTTCTGGGATTGGTTTCATATTTAAATATATGTGAATAATTGTGTTCCGTAGGAATCAAGGGGCATTCATATTTGCTTGGAGAATTTTATTTTGTAAATAGACTATTTTCCTTCTTTCCACTTTAATAGCAGTGACCCATGCAGGAGCTGCATATAGAAGTACCCGTCGGATTAGGGTTAAGCAGAGCATTCTCTTTACTTTGATATTAAGTTTGTATCTTCTTCCGATTAAGATGTATAGAGCCATGAAGGTCTTATTTGCTTTATTTACTTGATAGGTGACATGTTCTTTGAATGAAAGGCGATCATCTAGGATAACTCCCAAGTATTTTGCACAGCTTGAAACTGGGATAATTTCATCGGAGATTTTTATTTCAAAGTTTGTACGCATGTTTCTTCCGTATCTTCTAAATTGAACTATATTTACATTTTGAAGTATTAATTTTAATTTTTCAAAGTCGATACCAGGTGGCGACAATGTAGATGTACAATTGCAGGTTGTCCAGAACAGCCTCGGGATTTTTTTGATTTAGAAAGTATTACTGTATCACCTGTATATTTTAGAGTCTTCGCATTTAAGAGATTTGGCAAGTTGTTAACGTAAATGTTAAACAATTTTGGTGCAACACTTGAACCCTGAGAAACACAGTTTGTAATTATCTTCTTCTGTGAGAGGGAATCTCCAACTGGAAGTTGGAATGTTCTTCTTTTCAGGAATGAGATTATGAGTTTAACAAAGTTGACGGGAAACATAAAGTTGTTTAATTTATAGATTAAACCCTGGTTCCAAACTTTGTCAGATGCTTTCTACAGGTCAAGAAAGCAAGCGGCAACTCCGGCTTTATGAAGAACATCAGATATGTATTCTATGAGATTCAGCACTTGATGTGTGATATTATGTTTTTCCCAGAATGCAGATTGACTTTAACGATTAAATCAAGATGTTCCAAATGATTTAATCTGTAATTAAAGGTCTGTAATTTAAGGCGCGTTCAAAAACTTTACCAATAGCCAGCAATCGTGAAAATGCCTGTGGTTTAATCTGGCAAATAAACGAAGGTCTCATACATAATTTTCCACGATGCGGTCATTTTGTCCTTGTTGCTTAATTCTAATCAGATATTTTATTTTAAATGCAGTAAAAACTTACATCACTAATGTATTAGACATGTATTAGACAAGTTACATCGTTGCTGTTGGAGCATTTTAACTCTTTGGCATCGAGAGAGGGCAAAATCTCAATTCCTCAAACATCAAAAACGCCCGTATCTAAGAATTTCTCCTGGAATGCTTTTCCTTCCCCCATGACAAGTTGAATACTACAGCGCTAACAATAGCCTTACTTAAGTAAAGCGAGAACTTCTTTCTTCGACGCTTTGACACTGTGTGAAGTTCCCCCTTAGGACGGGATTGTAACTTCGGGCATCAAAAGCTAAACACTGACAGTAAACAAAGGAAAGGAAGGAACAAAGGAAACAAGGAAGCTACTTTTAGTAGCTTCAAAAGAATGATTGACATGTGATTTAACAACACCTGAAAGCAAGTAACGTGATGGGGGAAAGCACTGGGTAGGAAATTATTCAGGCGTTTCGGGCGTCCAGCCGATGTCTGAATGCTCGGGCGCTTGGGGCGACTTCGATGCGAAAGAGTTAATCTGTGAGGTATTACGTTTTTAGTAAAAACTGTAGAATTTATAAACCGATATCTGCAAAAGTTGCCATCGAGGAATATCTTCCATTAATTGAACAGTTGTGAAGCCAAGAGCTACTCTAATTTATATAGGCTAAGAACAGTTACTAATTTTAAATTATAATTACTTAGTTTTTTTCTGGCTGTTAAAGATTAATTTTTCGTCATTCCGCTGAAATGTTTCATCTATAGAGGCTGTTTGGCAGAGAATCAGAATTAATTGTAGTGGTGAGAAGCTAATTAAATAATGATTTTAAACCTTTCCATTCTTAGAACAATTTAAGAAACAAACATGGCAAAAGTTTATTAATTTGTATTACAAGGTACTTTCTCCTCCCTTTCCGCATGCCTTCGCTGTGTAACGGTAGGACACTCAACGCGTATTCGAGAGGTCCAGGTTCAAGTCCTGGCGAGGCATTGCACATTTTTCACGTTTCAAAAAAACCTAATGACTCTACAGTGACGCCCGAACTAAAAGGTGGTGGACGATAATTCGTCACCACCAGGATTTGGCAATTGGGTCCCCTAATCCCTAGTCACCTTTTAAAAGAGGCAGTACATAAAGCGCTTCCTCCCTCATTTCCGCAGGCCTTCGTGGTGTAATCAAAAGCATACTTGACACGAATTCGAGAAGTTCAGAGTTTGAGTCCCGGCCAGGGCATTACACATTCGTCACCTCTTTTGCTTCAAAATAACCTAATAAATCTACAGCATGACTCATGTTATCATCAATAAATGAGGTAAATACAAAGTAAGGGCATAAGTTAAGCTGTGAAGGTCATTATGAAAGATCTGTAGCTATACTTTATTAACTACGCTGAAGAATTGGCAATTGACGTAAAGATCCACTTGAAGACATATAAAGTATTTCTCCCGCCTTCTTGGCGTGCCTTCGTGGTGTAGTTGTCTGCACGCTGGGCGCGTATCAAAGAGGTCCGTGGTTCGATTCCAAGTGAAGGCGCTGTTCCGTTTTTATCTCTTCTGCTTCCAATTAACCTAATGTCTCTACAGTGGCGCCCGAACTAAAAGGGTAGTGGATGATGATTCTCCTTACCAGGATTTGGCGATTGGGTCCCCTAAAAACCCCAGTAGCCCTTTAAAAGGGGGAGTATATAAAGTATTTCTTCAGCCTTCGTGTAGTAGTGCACGCTGGTCTGCATGGTGCAGTGGTCTGCACGCTGGGCGCGTATTCCAGAGGTCCGTGGTTCGATTCCCGGCGAAGGCGTTGCTCAGTTTTCATCACTCCTGCTTTAAAAATTAACCTAATGACTCTACAGACATTCCGGAAGTGTTAGATAAGCGATAAGGTCGATTAATGCGGTATTTAGGGAAGAGAATTAAGTTTAATAGGAAGGCTAAACAGAAATCCTAACAATATCCAGTTACACGTTTTTTGTCGAAAATTGAGGTTTTCAGTGTTTGCAGGTAGTTTAGCAAATTTTATTGCAAAACAGTTTGGCATATTTTATTGACGTTAAACTGGTTCTAATTATGACGGCACTAAACTGAAGGACGTTCCGTATTTACGGGTATTCTATACCATGACATCGGGGTTTCATCGCATATGAAGCTCCAGTATAAATATGGGATTACCCTAATCATCAGCTTTCCCGAATACGAATCACAAGTCTTAAAGAAGTAGAAGTTTGAGCCGTCACTGAAGATTACGTAATGCCGCTGTGATTTCTGGAAGATTTCCTCTGCATCACTGTAGATGCTTTTTACAATGACATTTCTGTGTTGCTAGAATAGCAGAGTCCGAGGATAACAAATTATACCTCGATAAGCAGTCAAATTTACTTTCTGTCGTCGATACCGAATAGTAATGATGAACACCAAGTGGAAAAGGATGGTCGTCACAATTCAGTTTCATACGGCAAAAGAATCTAAATGAATGTTACAGTTCCCTCTTATAATGCTAGTCCAACAGATTTTATCTTTGCAGGGGGACCTGAGGCTTATATTAAAAATTTCATTTAAAAAACATTTACAGGTAAGGAAGTTATGAAGCAAAAACAAAAATAACTAGTACATAAGAAAGTAAGTATTACATTATACCTTTATTAAAGTTGACATTTATAAACCACTCATATTCTAGCAAAGTCAACAAACGGTAAGACGAGATTAAAAATTTTCATGTACAGAGAAACATCTTTTCACAAATTTAATTTATTCCTGAAAGCCTTTCGTCAGCCTATATGTTCATAAACCGAAGTAATTTTCTCTAGGAATAAATGTAAACTGGATTAATTCGTTCATGAACCACAAAGGACTGCTTATATAAACTTTACAGGTGTACTTCGTGCACAAAGCCTTAATCCAAAATTAATGTAAGTTATTAAATATAAAAAATAAACACAATATTAAACAGATAAAATAGTTAAATTAATTTTAATTTTAATGCCCCTGTACAAAAGAGAGGGTACGAAGAAGAATGCATCAGAGGAAAAGGATAAGAAAGATGTTATTGTTTGGATCCAAAATTTCCTTTTATCAAAACTTCAGATAACTATCTTTAGGGGACATATTCTATCATCTTTTCTTTGCCTTTAAACGTCCATCGAATCTGCTCGAAATTTATTGTAAATTTGACCGAAACTACTTATTTACTTTAATAACAAACAATTTTAAATGAGTAGAAAAGCAAACCTGCTGAAAGGACGATCCAGAAGCACCATCCGAATTTGAAATGAAGAGATCCTCCCTCGAAGGGTATGACTAAGGGTTTCCGAGGCAGAAGGTATGTGTAAATGGCATTCGTCAGCAACATCACTGCACCCGTCAGCTGCATTGTGTATGCTCCGTACCTTGGCACTGTACAGAGGAGGATGTTCATCAACAGCCACAGGGAAAATGCAGCCCTAGAAGAATAAATGAATTTACTAAAATGAAACCGTACGTGGATATGTAACTAGATAAGGTTATGAATTTCTATTATAAAGTATGGTAAATATAACTTAAGAGATAATTTTGAAGAAGTTTACATAAGAATAATAAAACTATGTTAGTTAAATATGCGTTGTTAAAAATTACTGCATAAAGGTCATTTTAAAGTAAGTTCAGTTTATTTTAACAAATTCAGTCACAGAATTAAGAGTTTGGTCGCAAAATCTCCTCCCCTAACATGAATAAAATATTCCTGTAATATCACAGGTCACAAAAGTTTTAATGTGCGATCTTAAAAACGCAAGGTATGAACTTCGAAAATCATTTTGGAAAGTAATAGTTAACGATATGTTGGATATCAGGAAAATTAATTTTAAATTTTCTGTGCTAACTTATATAACGCCGCTTCTTTTACAGAAGACTGTGAGGACTACAAAACGAGAGGACTGATTTCTTAATGAGGCTTACCGATCACCTTAGAATACCTAACTGACCTTGAGATAATTCAAGATTTAAATAGTGGAACCAAATTAACAGCATTTTGGTGCATATTAGTTTGAATTTATATGACACTTGAGAAAATTTAAAAACCCTTGCATAGCTTTTTCGTTTCGCTTGACAAATGTTGAGGAAGTTATTTTTGTTGAATAATTTTGGTCACTGGAGTCGAAACTGGTTATTGGAGTACAAAATCGTATAACATAATTGGAGTCCAACCTGGAATTTCAGTTTTTCATTCTAATTTTATTCACTACGAAAACGCAGTTTTAAACTCAGAAAACGCTTGAAGAACTAACACGATTTTTTTTTTTAAATTAGGTGTCTAACTGTCCGAAATGCTCGTTCAAAGCCATATAAATTCAGGTTTGTTGTTAATTTGTTATCTACGATTTTAAATATTTCGTTGATTTAAAGATTACAGGAACATAATACAAAGCCATTTCTTATTTTTACAAAACTGTAAAGTTGTTGAACTAAGCTTGTACATTCTAGCCAACGGTGTTCGATAAATACATAATATATGAATAATTATGAAAATGCTGCTTAGAAAGGCAAGCTCACAGCGAAATAATAACTCATATTAACTTTTTCCTTTATTTAAAATCAAAATATTTAATAATGTAGATTACTTTTTAATTTTATGATTTGAATATAGTAAGCCAATAATTTTTTTTTTTTTACTTTAATTGTAGTTGAATAGAATTAGGCATGCAATTTGTTTTGTGCGAATAAAAAACAGCAACCTTTGGTTACTTTTAATACAGTTTGGCTTATTTGATTATGGCAAAGCACTCAAGGGATATATGCTTAAGGGAATGGATGCCTCCGTGGAGGGCGTTTTAGGGAAACTGGTTGATATACACGTTACACCTGGAAAAAATTACGAAAACGCCCATACAGCCAGCCCGTTCCCCGAGATTTGAACCCGGACCGAAGTACCAGTGTTCAACGACTTTACTGCTCGACCACTAGAGGGCTCAGCTTTGATACAGTAAAAAGAAATTTAAAGTGTCTTTTTCTCTTTTTAAAACCTAACTAATTAAAAATTAATTTTGCTGCTTTGATTTAGAAAATAGAAACGGGCTGAGCGTTCAGAGAAAAAAGCAATAATTACTTGGTCAAATTTTGTCGGAAAATGCTTGCTTTGTATTTTCTTTTGCTATTTTATTTCTTAACTGTACAATCTTTATTGAAATAAAATGCGATTAAAAAAAAAGAAAATTGTCTCATTTGCACTATAGGACAATCGTATTCAGTCTACAGAAAAAGAGAGCCTTATTATCCAAATCTTTCGAATCTGAATTGGCTACGACTGCAGTTCGAAAATGTGAATCTTAAGTTCAGATTTTAAGCAAGTTTCATAACACATTGTTTAATAATTAAAAGCCAATAAGCGTTCAGCGAGCCAAATTAAAATTTAGATCACATAAAGAGATAAGCTAAAAAGGGAAGCAATAAAAATATGAGCAAATATTAGCATCATTAAAAAATAAAGAAAGAATGCAAAAACAAAGAAATTGAAGGAAGTCATCATACATAAGTCTATATTTTATTTGCTTATTTATTCATTTTAAAGTTTTTATTCGCTAATTATTCCATTTTATATGCATTCAAGTAATAGATACACAACACTGTGAAAAAACAAATAAGCTGTTTTATTTTCATAATTTTTATGGACGTAATGCATCTAATTAGCATTCTAAGATAAGGTAACCCCTCGAGTGTTTTGCCGTAACTAACTGAACTTGCATAAGATATTTCAGGAACCTAATCATTACCTCAGACCAGGATCTAGTATACACCTTCAAGGCTTTTCTCAAGTTCTCAATAGCGGTTGAATAAATACGCTTTTAAAATTATTTTTTTAATCGCAATCAAGACTGAATGTTGTATATGCGTCTATCAACTCAACCTTCGAGGAGGGAAATGTATACACTTATTATGGTATCATTTCATTGCAGGAAATCATCAGTTTGATAAAAATTCTCCATAAAAGGAAAATAAATAGTATAGACACATGAATGGGAATGAATCACAACATAAAGACATTTTGCCTTGGAAGGAAAGTGGAGAGTCGACGGTCCAATGCCAACTCGTTAACTTCCGGCAGAAAAGACGCAAACTTGACAGAAGACAACAATAATAAATTATACCTTGCAAGTTTAATAGGATCTTCACAGTCTACAAGTGCCCGTCTCAATTTTCTATGCAAGTTTTGATTTTGTGCTCAGATGGGTTTGCGTTGGCTTGGAAACTACGATCGTTAAAATTACAAAGTGATGGCACACAGTGGAGTAACATTTTAATTAGCAGGAATTCTATTATTCCTTGACGTAGTAATTTGTATTTGTATTATCTTTTAAAAAATAAAATTATTTTAATATTATGATTTTCAAGAGTAAATATTCCATTACGTTTACGTAATACGTTTCCATTACATTGATAAGTTAGTATTAGATACATTTAAAACTTTTACATTTATTTGTGGTAACACTACTGACCTTGGAACATTTTGCTAATGCTCACTAGTTAATAGCTCTGTCTAGTAAAAAACGCTGATAAGAGCATTTCAGACTCCTTTCTAAAGAAATAAGCAAGAGAGAAAAGAATGAAGTTTAAAAGAAGTATATACGACACTGTCTTTTACATAGCGCAATGTAGGTAACGGTATGAAAGAAGCATTGAATGATATGTGGCGTGTATGAAATGATATGTGGCGTGCATGATAATAATTCTGTATCAGAACGTGCATGGGAATATTGGTTTCGAAGCTTTAGTAATGGTGAGAAGGACTTCAGAAACTGAAAAACAGTGATATACTGGAGAATGATTACAGTATTATTGTAGTACAACAATTGGTGAAGAAGGCGAATTATGCTTTGGAATTTGAGAAAACTTTAGAACTTGATCTCACATGATTAATTTAAAAAAGACTGGAAGAAGAGGATGAAATGATCCGTTTTTAAACTTGCTTGACAGAAAGTAGTCGCAGTTTTGCGTCAAATGGTAATTGGTGATGATTAGTTCTCTGCAGCATGAAACGACGTCAGATTTGTGGATTGTGCAAGTCTCCAGGCTTCCGCGCTAAACTAGGATAATATCCACCAAAGTAAGTTAAAGTTTTATTAAATATCCAGTAGGATTTCAAAGGAATGTTCTATTGGAAGCTTCTGCTACCATCAAAACTGTTAAAGGCGATGATGTTAATCCATATAGATGGACTGCTTCTGATATGGCTTGAGCGAAAAGCGCTCTTTGTTAGTGAATAGTCAGAGGGTATATTACCTAATAATATCGGAAAACGTTACACATATAGAGTTTTGACTTCGTTTTGACGAATTTATATAAGTTTTGGAGAAATTTCGTACTGCACATGCTTTCTTGAAATTCTTTTGGCGGGATATTATTCAAGCCGAATATCATCTCTTTCGATCATTATATATTTTTATTGAGGAAAGAAAACTGACAACAATGGAGAATTAAATGTGTTCTATAATATAACGGAATTTTTTCATTGATAAATGCTAAAATTTTGCACACTTCGGAATAACTTGAGTTACTATAAAGTTTTCAAATGTAATGAGCAATTATACAATATTATAACGGTTAATTTGCATATTATCATTCTTATAGCGATAAATTGGTGTGTCAAAAAATGTAATGCGTTTTAAACCAAGACTCCATTTAATAAACAAATAATAGTAACTAGCTTCCAGTAAAATACTGCATATGGCAGGGAAGTGTAAGCAAGCACGAAAATGAGTAGTAAATGTAGTTAAAACTCTTACACATCGATACTGCTTATTTGTCTTTTGAAAATTTTTTTCTGGCATACACAACGTACTGCAGCAATAACTATACTACTGTACGATTACTGTACGATTGAGACACTTGTATTATATTCCGAATATTTAGATGGGACAACTGGTATCAGCAAGCTTCAAAATGAACTGGTCGTTTCAGGCGAAAGGTAGTTTGTACATAAGAAGGATGCAGCGTCCCAATCAAACTCCAAATCGTTGTATACCATCCATCACTACATTATTGATTGTTAAAAATAAACTTGAGAAACAAATGCAATTACGATATGTTCAGATGTTAAATCGTTTCATGTTACTGTCAGGAAACTTATTATTTACATAGGATTTATGCTATTAAACAAACAGTTCTCGTTCAGGAAGAAATAACTCTTAAATTTATAAAATCCCTTCGGAAAATTAAATTTTTAAGGTGGGATTTTACTTGAATATATATGGGTACTAGATGTGAAGTAGAAAGAAATGTTTAAAAAATTATAAGATCACTCTTTGAACATTTCAAAAAGACGTTCTCACTTACGCTCTAATACATTTCGAGTTTTCATGTAAAAAAAGTCTAGAAAAGGTTTTTCCCTCTAAGTTCGCTAAATGAACTGACCAGCTGAATATCGCTTTACAGTACCGCTTTCTGTTCTTCCTATCATGTAATATTGTTC